CCGGGCTGGAGTTTCCATTAAGATTGTTTTTAGGATGGTGCGGACCTCAGCTTCCTGGAAGGGCTTGTCCAATTCAAAGGCTGGTGATCCCGTGTATTGCGCGTAGCCAGAAAGAGGCCGGGTTGTGTCCAAAGGGAGGTATCTCTGTGCCAGACACTTCGTTATTTCCGTGTCCGATTTACCCTTCCTTTCTGAGTGCAGTATTCGGTCTAACAAGCGCGTCTGGTTAGATTTAGATTGGGTCTCCTGCAGCAGGTGTTTGAGAAGGTTCCATTTTCCCCCAACTTTCATCTGACCATCCACCTTGTTGCGAATCTCGTCCCAATGCTGTTTTTCCAGCGTCTGACAGTAAGTCGTTATTTTCTAGTTAAGACTTGCGATGCGTTTTCGCAGTCTTCGATTCATACGGTGTGCTTTCCACCTGGCTAGCAGGGCGCTTTTAGCCTCAAGAAGATGAGCAAGCGTACTATCCATTTTATTGATCGGAAGATCAGTCTCTATCGTTCTGGTGGCCGACTTGACGTTTTTGACCAGCTGAGACAGCCACTTGTCGAAATTCGGTGAGTCATTAATCTCTTCTGCGCTCTTCGCTCTGATCTTACGGAAGAGGTCCCAATCTGTAAATTTGAAAGCTTTAGGGGGCTTTGCTTGAATTTGTAATGCCGTACTCAAAGTACATTGGTCACTCCCCAAGTTTTTTCCTAAGTTTAACCATGATACCTCCCCCGTAGTTGTGACAAAGGTGAGGTCTGGAGTAGTATCCCTAGAGCGAGAATTTCCAGTGCGGGTAGGAAACGTGGGGTCAGTGACCGAAGTAAGATTCAGATCCGATACCACTTGCCAGAGCTCGGCCCCTTGGCAGTGGTGCGAGGGTAGCGCCAAGCTTTATGGGGTGCGTTGAAATCTCCCGCTATAACTATGAGTGCGTCCACTTTCCTAGCAATCGCAACGGCTTTTGATAACAATGAGTTGAAGCGATGGTGCCTGCCTTTTGGAGAGCTATATATGTGGAGTATTAAAATGCTATTTTAAGGTTGCTGCCAGGTATAATTTCTAAAAGAAAGTGTTCAATTTTGCTATTTGCCATGTGCAAATTGTGCTCAATGAAAGTGTACTTCTTGGACACAAACGTGCAGATACCGCGGCCATCTGGAGGTTTCGTGATGTGATGTGTAGCCTGGCAGGCTCATTGTTTCCGTAAGCGTCTCCTGTAGCATAATAACATGTGGTCGAATTGGCAGGGATTTAATATACGGCTGGAGAGCTGCCTTCTTTGATTGGAAGCCCCAGCAGTTCCACTGCAAAATTACGAAATTTTTAAGGTGCCCCGCCATTGTTGGGACCCTCAAAAGCTCTCTCCTGAGAGACGCTACGGGTTGCCACCTTTTGCACGATCCTGACCTTAGGTATCACTTAGGCCGGAGTAGTCTCGGCTGATTGTAAAGCTTTAACTTGGTCAGTCTCGATCTTTGTGACTCTGCTGTCCAATACCGCAATCGACTCGACCACCTCCCTGAGAGCATTTTTGATATCATTCAAGGTTTTCTTGACCTCTGATTTGAAATTTCTGTCCTCGTTATTGGCCGGTTGTGCTAGCGCTCTCCTTTTTGTTGGTTTTGCCCCTGGATGGACGTCCATGGGTACCTCATCGTGACTCGCATCCGATGTGGCCTCTGTACAGGGAACTGTGTTTGAAGGAGACGGAGACGAAACCTGCTGTGATTTCATTAAGTCGGCTATTTCAGCCCTGAGTTCCTCGACAATGGCCCTGAGGTTAGCATTTTCCCTTTGCATCTGCGCATATATATCTGAGTGCTGCTCTGGATTGGTACCCCCCTTTACCTGTGGTTGGGAGCCCTTGATCTTGGAAGCCCAGGTCTGGTGCTGATTTCCTTGCTGCACACCGTTGCGGACGGTAGGCACCCGTGAGTTAGAACGGCCCTTGGATCTAGAATGTCCTCTGGATCTTGAACGGCCCCTTGCTCTGCCTCTGGAAAGGGATCGCCCTCGCGGTGGTTGTAGCTGTTGGCTGACGTCACGCGGGCGCCAGCTGCTGCTCGGGTGCTCAGTCGTAGCACGGCCGCCTGCAGCGGCTGGTAGCGATAGGAAGTCTCCTCCACTATCTGTGAAGTTCATGTCGTCGGCGTCTTGTTCCGCGAATTCCATCGTATATTGCATTCATCGCTCTCGTCTTCGTCGACATACTATGTAGGACACTTGAAAACGATGCTTACACGTGTTGTCTGCCGTGAGATGTGGACCCCACACAACTTGCATTCTGGAGTGCTGACGTGATCCTCCGAAGGAGATGACATACCACACCCTCTACAGACGGCCTCCTCTGGATGGGGACAAACATCGGCTCGATGACCTAGCTTTCCACAGGCATAACAGACATCCGTCTGTCGACGATACAGGGTGCAGCGACTCAAACTATTCCCACATAAGACGTAATTTGGGACTTTTAGTCCGTCAAAGAGGATGATCACCGTGGTGGAATTCTTGATTCTTTTCACTTGGAGTGCAGTCGGGCTCCTTGGGTGTACAATAATTGAATAAAGTTGTTCTTGACCGATGTCCGCGTCAACACCTCTGATGATACCTTTGCAGGTGTCATCGGGGGCAGCTTGGTAGGCACTAACATCAAAACTGGCGGTACCGAGAGTAATGGCGGTGATATTGGAATACGCCCTGGCGTTCCTCTCCGCTGGAGTGCTTATAACTGCAATGTTCTGCATCATATTTGGGCATACCACGTCTTCCGTGACTTCTTCCTCACTGAGCGCTGCAGCCACTGCAGGTGCTTTCGCAAACTTAATTTGACTCACAGTTCTCATGTCCAGGCCAATTCGAGGTCTCACGATAACTCAATGGTGATCCCTTGGAAGGTAAGGGAGTCTAGAAGCAGCGATAAGACGCTTCTTTACCGCAGCCCGGGAGCGCTGAGGCGACCACGCGTCGCCGTGCATGGAGACGCTTGCTCGCGTCTCGGTCCTGGGGGTATGCGTCCCACGAAGTTTACGTTTAGTGGTAGCCACAGACCATCCAGAATCTTGAAGATCATCGGGAGTGATATCCTCTCCATCGACAGAGACTTGCATAGACATTCCGTGCGTAGAGTGCTGAAACACCCTTCCGAGAAGGGCCGGCGGCCGCTCCGCCGTAGCCTCCGCTTAGGGCGCTCAGCTGAGCAGATGGGCAAACAGAAGAGTCTCGAAAAAGGGTGAAAAAGCTCACCCACAGTGAAATACTTGGTATCGATGTAGTCCGTGCGGTTTTATGCGTTGACTGGCACCAAAAGACGCTCGCAAATGCACAAAAAACTGTCCAAAAACATTTTCGAACGCGGAGCCGATGTTTTCACATCCACACGAGACGGCGTCCCCCTGGTGGTCCTAACCCTGTGTTGAAATAAAAAAAATGACTACTATTAAAAACGCTTTTCCTTGTAGCACCTCCTACATGAAACTGAGACAAAAATTGAACAATGCTCGACCGGGCGCTCCTCACAAAGCTAATTATGCAATGAAATGGACGAACCTGTTATCATAGAATGAACTAATGCACAAAACGCTCGTAAACATCAGTGTACCGTATTGTTTCTCACAGAACAATATTCAGCAACTGTTCTCAAAAGTGGATTAACTAAGTTCCCCTACATTTTCTTGATGAACTATGTTCCACTGTCCCGTAACATTGCCCCTTTGAATTTTACGATAAGCTTCGTTGGGTTGCGTTTGTACATTGTGGCAGAGCTGACGTAACGTCATCCTTCATGAAATGGTTGTAGAATTCTTGTCGGTTGTCTATGACATATGCACGAGGGTATGCTTTATTTATGCTAGCATATATGAAACGCAAACATAGCTAGAAACAGGTTGAATGTGGCTAGACTAAACACCTCATTGACTACCTGTTGAGATAGAATTCACGGGAATGTTTTGTTTCACTATTTCTTGCCATGAATGAATAAAAGGCACGGATCTCACGCTGCATCTTGTGTTTGTTTGTAAAAACCCCTCTTTTTTCTTTTACATACATCCCCCACCTGTACCACTGATATACAAGAAGTCCACGAAAAATTCATTACTGATAACAACTAACTGACATACAGAAAAAGCAACACTTGCTTATGTTGTTTTTGTATGAAAACGAAATGGTTAGCAGGCCAAGGAGTGAGGAAAAAAACAAGTTTTGAAGCTTTACAGTGGCGGTTATCTTACCATTTGTTCATATGCTAGCTTCTGGCTTGAATATAGGAAACTTCAAAAATAGAAAATAGGGAGTACAAAACTTAAAAAAGTATTCTATTCCTCAAACAAAAACTGTAAAGAAAAAACAAGCCACGTAAGAAGAACCGTTCATTTATTTCCAAGTTTCGTGTAAATCTAGCTTTTATTTGAAACAACACATCGTGCAAATATGGCGCAAATAAGGACAAATATGGCGTTTTTGTGAAATTCTTGAATTTTTCACTCAAAGTTTAGAATCTTTAGAGGTCTAAAATATTTTTGCAATATATGCCTTCTGTTCAAATAAGCATTCATTTCTGGAATATTCATGCAAAGTGCAGTAATAAACTATAAAAACTGCTAAAATAAAACATTTTTTCTGAATTCACCAAGGCGCGTGTGGCAGAAAAACTGCATAAATATTACTCAGCCGCAAAAAGCTTACAAAAACACTTCTACTTAACATGTAAACCAAATTTTATATGCAAAGAAAGAATTGTACTTTTAAAATAGTTCTTTTTTCACGAACAGCACCAAGATGACATTTTGGGATGTAAATAAGAAACCCACGTAACCAAATATTTTTTTCTGTTCCAAATATTCTAGCAGTTTACTGTTGTCAATGCAGTAAACCAGCAAGATTTTTGTCTAAAACACTTGAGATGGTCGTTGAAATGGCTGGGACGTTTGGCGTCAATGAGTAAATACCTAAGTAAGTACTGTTGAATACGGTTAACAGTAGCTTATTTTCCATATTCTTGACTGCAGACGTCTGCCGCGGCCACCTACACGTTATATAAGTTAGCAATGAACCCAGCAGCCCAAGAAAAAGCACGGCAAGAAGTTCTCGCTGCCACAAAGGACTGCCCTGGGACGTTCCCTGCACAGATTCATGATCAACTACATTACGTCAGAGCCTGCATCAAAGAAGCACTGAGGTGAGTGTGAACATAAGCAATCTAAGCCGGCACGACTCCGTTAAAGTTGTTGAAATAGGGAAGTTCATGTGCCATTTCACCAAACTAATGCATTTTTCTTTTTTACAAGCCTTTTCTAAGTTTTTTTGTTGTTATTTTATTTTTATTCTGTAGCTGCAGCTCTACGTTAGCTCTATGGTAGTTATAGGACTTTAATGTACCAAAGCGATGGCTGTAGCGTCGTTCGTGAGACATTACATTTCACCCTTTAGTCTTGGCAGTACACACTTACCATTTCCTGTTTTTCCCATTAAGCTATGTTGGTTTCGTACGATGACCAATGAGCTGTAGCGACCACGCTGTAATTCTATGGTAGCATCTTGGTGCAACCATGGCACTTTCCACTCGACCACTCACCCAAGAGCGTATTACAAGGGTGGCTGCGCTGGAAAGCGAGCATCATCGCAAATGTGGCTGCTCCCCATGACATGCCCTCTTCGCTTCTTTGGTGAGGCGTTGTTGCTTTCATGCCCCATCCACATAGGAACGAGCGTAAGACGCTCCGCACCTCAACGAGCCTCTCTCATAACTCTCGGCAAGGTTCAGCTTCTTCTCCTTCCTACCGGGCTTCACAGTTGCCACATCACACGCACTCACGAAAAGAAAAAAGACTGCAGAAAGATAGGGTGGAAGCTGAAAAATTGAACGATTCATCTCAATCAACGCACATTACAACCGAACAAGCGTCGATCATCGCAGAGTTTGCAGGCATAACTTTCCATGAAATCGTCGCACGTTGGAGACCCTCGATGGTCTGCGCATTACCACGGCCGTGTCAGTACTAAGTATACAATGTAACAACGACATAGTGCTCCGTTTGCGGCCAATACCGACAGAGGAGCTTTGTTCGTCTATCAAGTGTGAGGGAAGTGATGACACTCATTGGCGAACTTACCATCCAAGTGAGTAGTTACTATACGCAAAGAAATCACCTCAAAGAACAACTAGAGACCATCGTTGATAGATAAGGAGGAGAAGGGTAAAACTTCATTTATTTTAGGAGGGAGGGGTGCGGTGGTGGAGGCAGCAGAGGAGCCTACCAAACGTAGGTCTTCGCTACCCTCTTGGTCCAATTCAGCATCTGGCCCTGGACCTCTGGCGCCGAGCTGCACATAGCAGACTCCCACTATTTTTACTTTTAATGTGTAGAGAGTTAGGTGGTGGTCTACATTATACGATCTAGATTAGCCCTTTGTTTGTTTAGCCAGTGGTTTCATGCGAGCACGATGCTGCTCCGGGACGTCCAAGCACGCTAGAGTCTTCCTTTAATTTTCCTCCCTTTTCGCCCTTTATGCCGGATCAAAAATAAGCTTGTTTGACTCACTCTCTCATTCCTTTGTTAGCAGAAAACGAATGAAGGCAAGATATATATCGCAGGGTGTATTAGATGGCGAAAATATGGGGTAAGAAACGTACGATATGTAACTGGAGGCATAGTATTTAGTGAAATTGAGAAGCTACATGGCGTAAGGGGAGTGGGCTATATATACTAGGTACCCTTTATGGTACCCTATATGGTATCCGTAAGGCGAGTGGGCTATATATATGGTACCCTGTAGGCGATAATTATTTTTTACGTCGTTGATGAGATCTGCCACAGCGTTTCATATGAATGCATATAAATCGGCTGAGGTGGCGTTCCTGGTAAGTCCTAACTCCTAAGGTTGCGGCAAATTCTGCATGTTGACCGTTATGTACACTGATTGGTACGCATGCTTACACTTACACAACCTTCATCAAAGTTATGAGTATATCTGCCTAACAGCCACAACAAGTTGTATAGCAAACAGTTTAACTTCAAAATACCCCATGTTTAGGCCACCTAACTTGGAATCTTTTTTTGGGAAACTGAAAGGACACTTCTTTTTATTATTGAGTATTATGCAAATCACTTTTACGTTTTGTTTTGTTTTTAGGTTTCACCCCATCATACCAGGAGTGAACAGGAAAATCAACCATGATGTCGTAATGTCAGGTTACCTCATACCCGCTAATGTAAGTATTGTAGTGGAGCGTCATCGACCACCTCCTGAGGAGGGAAACTAATCAGTGCAGTTCCGGAGGCAAGAACTGCACCTTGTGCGCAATTCCCAAGGCCTCCGTTTTCGCCACAAAATGTTGTTGATGTCGATGTTGAGGGAGTCGCCACATTAGCGTTAATTGATACCGGGGCCGCCGTTTCTGTGATAGACGCCAAATTTTGTCGGAAACTGAAGAAAGTGACCACATCTCTCTGTGGCATGGTGCTGTCCACGGCTAGCGCGCAACGAATTCATCCCTCGGCTCTGTGTACGGCGCGCGTCGTCATCCAAGACGTTTTGTACGTCGTACAGTTTTTTGTTCTGCCATCTTGCTCTCATGACCTTATCCTCGGTTGGGATTTCTTATCACGTCATGAAGCTATCATCGATTGTTCCCGTGCCGAAGTGTCCCTTGTGCCAACATATGAATTTCCACCACCCGACCAGTCGCCTCGGCTCTGCAAACTTATCACTGACGACGACATCACCTTGCCCCCGGAAGCTTCGGTCCCTATAAGCCTTTCATGTGTGGCGCAACCTGACGCCACGGTGGTGTTTACGCCATCTCCTGTTTTTACTGAACGCAAGGGCATCGTTCTCCCATTTGCCGTTCTTACAATTGCGTCTGGTTTAACCGTAATGCTGGTTACCAACCACTGCAACTACCCCATTGGCTTACTTCGTGGTGAAACGTTGGGATATGTGCAACCTGTCGACCATATCGATGATATTATTCTTCCCGACGAAACGCCATGTCACATTGCCGCAATAACTGATGCGTCTGAGCCATCAAGTTTGTCACCCTTCGACAATGCTATTGACGCAGACCTTCCCCTCTCGCATCGCCGCCAACTTGTTGCTCTCCTTAACAAGTTTCGCTCTTCTTTCGACTTTCAAGAACCTGCTTTGGGCCGCACCACGACTATCACTCATACTATTGACACCGGCTCACATTCGCCTCTGCGACAGCGTCCTTACCGCGTTTCCGCCGAAGAGCGCCGCGTCATTACGGAGCAAGTAGACGACATGCTTAAACGTGGAGTGATACAGCCTTCTCAAAGCGCTTGGTCATCACCTGTGGTTCTCGTAAAGAAAAAAGATGGCACCGTTCGATTTTGCGTGGACTATCGCCGCTTAAACAAGATTACGAAGAAAGATGTCTACCCGCTACCACGAATAGACGATGCTCTTGACTGTTTACAAGGCGCCGAGTACTTTACATCCTTGGATCTGCGTTCTGGGTATTGGCAGGTGCCAATGGCTGAATGTGATCGCCCTAAAACAGCCTTTGTAACGCCAGATGGCCTATATGAGTTCAAAGTGATGCCATTTGGGCTCTGCAACGCACCTGCCACATTTGAGCGCATGATCGATACCATCTTGCGTGCCCATAAGTGGAAAACTTGCTTGTGTTACCTGGACGACATCGTAGTCTTTTCGTCTGATTTCCCGACACATCTTGTTCGCCTCCACGAGATTCTGACGTGTCTAACTTCTGCGGGCCTACAACTTAACTCCAAGAAGTGCCATTTCGCAGCACGAAAACTAACCATCTTGGGACATGTCATCACAAGAGACGGTGTTCTTCCGGATCCCGAAAAGCTTCGGGCTGTCGCTGACTTCCCGTTGCCCACATCACTGAAAGCCCTAAGAAGTTTCATCGGTCTCTGCTCCTACTTTCGTCGCTTCGTGCGCAACTTCGCGTCCATCATCGCACCTCTCACGGGTCTGCTTTCCAACAGCAAAGGTATATCTGCATGGTCACCTGCATGTGACGACGCATTTCGCCAGCTGCGCTGCCTGCTGACCTCACCACCCATTCTTCGTCACTACGACCCCGCTGCTGCCACAGAAATTCACACCGATGCAAGTGGCATCGGTCTTGGTGCAGTTTTGGCACAACGGAAAGCCACCCAAGCCGAATACGTAGTCGCCTATGCAAGTCGCGCTCTCAAGAAGGCTGAATTGAATTACTCCGTGACAGAGAAGGAGTGTTTGGCCATAATCTGGGCCTTGACGAAGTTTCGCCCGTACCTTTACGGCCGCCCCTTCGACGTGGTCACAGACCACCACGCTCTATGTTGGCTGTCCACATTGAAAGACCCGTCCGGACGCCTGGGACGTTGGGCACTTCGATTGCAAGAATACGACATCCGTGTAGTATATCGTTCCGGTCGCAAGCATGCGGATGCCGATGCACTTTCGCGATTGCCATTAACCCCAGATGTGGCTTCTCTGTCACCACTTTTTACCACCTTGTCACCAATAGACACCACTGACATGCTTTCGGAGCAGCGTAAAGATGCATACCTTGCATTGTTACTCGACTACCTTACCGATCCGTCTGCTGTCCCTTACACGAGAGCGCTACGCCGACAAGCAGCCCACTTTTCCGTGCGAGACAGCATTCTGTACCGCCGCAACTACATGCCTGGTGGTCGGAAGTGGCTCCTTGCTGTCCCAACTCATATGCGCTCTGACATCTGCATGAATTTCCATGCAGACCCTCAAAGTGCTCACGCAGGTGTCCTGAAAACCTATGAACGGCTGCGCCAACGATATTACTGGCGAGGAATGTATCGCTTTGTGCAGAAATACGTTCAGTCTTGCACCACTTGCCAACAGAACAAGACACCTCCGCGGCACCTTACTGGCATGTTACAGCCGCTCCCGTGCCCGGCTCGCCCATTCGACCGCGTGGGTATAGACCTCTATGGCCCCCTCCCATATAGTCGCTCTGGAAACCGGTGGATTATTGTCGGCGTCGATCATCTGACACGCTACGCTGAGACTGCAGCTCTACCGGCAGCGACCGCCCATGAAGTTGCACTCTTCATTCTGCGCAGCTTCATTCTCCGCCATGGGGCTCCACGGGAATTACTCAGTGATAGGGGTCGAGTGTTCCTGTCGGAGGTCATCCAAGCTATTCTCGCTGAATGCAACATCATCCACCGGAAATCTACCGCATACCATCCACAGACGAATGGTCTCACTGAACGGTTCAACCGCACACTTGGCGACATGCTGAGGATGTACACCTCCTCCGACCACACTAACTGGGACGCTGTCTTGCCTTTTGTTACCTTCGCTTACAACACCGCGACGCAAGCGACTACCGGTTTTTCCCCGTTCTTTCTGTTGTACGGCCGCGAACCATCCCACCCCCTCGACACCATACTCCCGTACCGCCCTGATGCATCGGAGTGCTCCCCGCTTTCGGAAGTCACCAGATACGCTGAAGACTGCCGTCAGTTGGCTCGGTCTATGACAAGTGAGGCTCAAGGTCTACAAAAAACCCGACATGATGACGCTCATCACATAGCGCCTACGTTTCGTACTGGCTCCCTCGTGTGGCTTTGGGTGCCCCCGCACGTTCCTGGCCTGTCTTCTAAACTTCTGGCCCGGTACCATGGTCCATACCGTGTCATTGATGCAACCTCGCCGGTGAATTACATCATCGAGCCCCTAACACAATCGCCAGATTTGCGCCGTCGAGGACGCGAGACTGTACACGTCGACCGTCTCAAGCCCTACTACAACCCCCTCATTGTGCCTACTCCCTGAGTCGCCAGGATGGCTACTCTTCAACCCGGGGGGTATTGTAGTGGAGCATACGCACTAACGTGTATGCGCCTTCCAAAGAGAAGGAAAAACCCCGTGCTCTGATTGCACGAGAACCTAGGCCACCTTTGCGAGGCTTGTCGTACGGCCATTTTTCGTTGCGACATCGTTGCGACTTCTCCAGTTCAATAAACGTCATCACAGTATAAATAACGGTAGGGCAAATAGTGCATTTGTCACAGTAGAGGTTCATTTCTCACACGAACATGGTCCAGGCGCAAAGAAAGAAAGCGTGACAATACAAATTCTGCAGTCCTCAATTTTATTTTGCTCGTCATTCTTTTATGGCGTATATTTTTTTCTGACTAGGAATAAGTGTGTTACCCACGCTTACTGATGAGGCTACGTACAATAGCACAGCATGAAGTTCCGGTTATTTTCAGTAACAATTCTTGTCAGGCACAAAAATTTGCGACTTCATTTACTTTCTATAAAAGAAGATTTCATTAGCAGGAGACTGGAGGAGCCATCTATATTATGTGTTCACCCTTAGTCAAGTTCGGTGAAACAACAAAAAATAAGTACAAGCGAATTTTGCACTACCCCCACAAAGATCTTGATATCGAGGCTGGTCAGTCCTTAAGTTTTCATGGTAATGCTTGTTGCTGCTGGGAGTAAATGATTCTTGCTTGGTTTAAATATGTCGCAACTAGGTTTAGGTTAAGAATCTACCATCTTGGTTGCGCCAAGCTTTGCGCGACGTGGTGGGAACGTCCAGAATTTTTAGTCAATCACCAAGAGAGTGTCAGTGTCAGACCCAAGTAAGAAGGAATTGTGGGTTTGGGCGGGCATTTTAGATGCGAATCATCTTAGGGTCAAGCTCAATGCCGTCTGCGGCGTGACCACCCTTGCTGCACATGCGCGTCCGCTCCCCTTCTCTCCTATTCTTAGGTTTCCCCCTCTCGACTCGCAGCGTCGAAGCAGGAAGCGCCTGCTAACATGCCCTCGCCTCCGTTTCTCTCCTCTAAGCATTCTTCCCCGCAGTGTTCGCCCCCCATTGCGCATGCGCGTTTCTTATCCCTCTTGGTCCTCTCCTAAGCTTCTTCTCTCTTTCGCATCGCAACGACGATGCAGGCAGCGTCAGGTAGTCAGTTTCTTGATTGAAAGAAAAAAAAATGGCCACTCACGCTGCCAAGCCTTTCACGGGCCATCCCATATTTATAGGCACTTGATCTTGAACTCCAAGGTAGTGCCGGTAGGAGGTTCCTTCTTTGCGTTGTTGAGCATTCAAAATTCAGCGTGAGCACGTTAACTAAAAGCGGGCAGCGATGGAGCCTCTGTGCAATCGGAGTCTTTTGTCCATCATTGCCCATTAGCAGCAATTGGCATGTTTCAGTAGAAAAAACCGGCCTGTCACTTCGTACTTCAGGCCTTCCTAGGTCTGACACCTCCGCGACACCACGATGGGCGCCGGCGTCAACGTCATCGGCAGTGTAAGCGTTAGCACCCGCTGCTTCACATCTACACATGCTTCCCTTTAGGGGAAAACATTGTGACTTTTTGTTACTCTTTCACTCTCTCTTTGTTTCTTACTTTTCTTCTTTTTCTCCATGCTTTGTTTTCTTGGTCGTTTTTGTCTGCTTTCTCTATGTTTTCTCTCCGCCTTTTTTATTCTCTTTTTCTTTCCTTTCTTCGTATCACTATTCCTCTATTTTTCGCTCACCTTCTTTTTCTATGTTCTTTCTGTCTTCCTTTGTAATCTAGTTTTAATCTCTCTTTTGTCTTGCTCAATTTATTCCTTAATATTTTTATACTATGCTTTACTCCATTATCTTCTTTCTCTCTTCCTCTCTCTAGCATTTCTCGCATGCACCTTCACTGTGTGATACTACACGAAGAAAGAAGTGCAGCGCCTGACTGTCGTCCTCCTATGACAGTGACAGTTAATCACAGCGCTGAACTAACTTTTCTCTTGCTCTATGTTGAAAGCGACTCCTCTATGTGGTTCTGTCTGTAGTCCTGGATAGCGGAGTGTCAAGACATTCCCTTCGCGTCCTATGTATGCGGGTGTAGGAATCCCTATGCCTCGTGAGCAAGTAGTTGACGTTTGCCGCCCACCTGTGGCCATTTTTAGTTGACCGATGGTGATTGGTAGGACATGGTCAATTTCTGTGGCAAATACCCTTTCTTGTAAGTGATAGCGTTTGGATGACAACTGATAGTTTACTCCAATCTAGGACTAGCTTCGCTGTTCAAAATCTTAGTTACAAAGAACTGTCTGGCTTAGTCGACTGCCTTGATTTCGAATAAATGGCAGAGTCCCAAAAAGCAGCCTATCCGTCTATCGTAGCAGAAACTTTGGGCGATTATTTATTTATTTATTTAAGGGGGGCATCAGTATACAAACAAAATAACAGTAAAGGAGAAAAGCAGACGAATATATATATATATATATATATATATATATATATATATATATATATATATATATATATATATAAGATTACAAAAATCAAGGTGCGACAGCGTTATACAATACTAGAGTGCAACGAAATCAGGTTGTCACGAAAAATATCACGGTTACAAATGGATACAACATGATTCGGAAGACCTTTCCAATATGCAATGACTCGAGGTAGTGATGATAAGTTAAATGCCTGCGTGTGACCATGAATGCGCATAAGACTACGTGCATTGTGAATGCACTGGGAAGTGCGCGCAGGAGAATAAAGTGGCAAACAGTGAATTTCGTTACTATAGATGTACCTATGAAACAGACATAAAAGAGCAATGTTGCGGCGTATTTCTAGTGACTGAAATGCAAGGTCTTGTTTTATTAGCGTAATACTATTAGGGTAATACTTGTTTTATTGTCGCAATACCTACGGTGACAGCGTCAATTACTACGTGATAGCGGGAAAAAAGCTCATTTTGCATAAATTATGGTTTTGTTTTGGCGTCATTCGTTATAAGTAGGACTTCGTGTTTTCGGATAAATTTAACGATCTCTGATACACACATCTCGGTAATTTTCGATAGTCCAGATTTATCCGATAAGCTCAGCAGTACGCAATGTTGGGCAAAGTTGGTGAACGTTACTTTAAAAACATAGCGTAAGCTTAAAAACGAGAACGAGGACTGATCATCTTTCATCGTGTTTTTAAGCTTGCGCCACGTCTTTGAAGCACCGCTAAAGTTTGATTTTACAGAAGCATTTTTGCGTTCAAACACCATTTTCAAAGCTGACAATCATCTTTTGTAAACATTTTTGTAGCATGCACAAACTTTGTGCTTTGTATTCATGTAATTTTATATGTATATGTATGTGTATATATACATATACAAATGCATAAGTCATTGCGCGATCAAGCCTTTCAGGCAACACCGGGCAGACTGCCTGCTTTAAACGCGCACACGAGTTTACCAATGAACGCGAGTTCCGTTGAGGGACAGGTGAATTTCTGCTCCTGACGTCTTATGGCTTTCACGTTCAATGCATTTGCATATGTTTCTATTTTCCTTTGGCCTGTTGTCGCCGTAGTTACGACAGAAATCGTCCGAATGATATATTTACTTACATAGTCTTCTCCTTACAATATGCAGCCCGAAGGTTATGAAAAAGATAACCCAAATTTCTGTCAGCAGTCACCACAACTGACGAGATGGGTATCTACTGGGCTTAGATACGTTCTTCTCAAGCTTCATTCAGTGCTGCATAACGAGCCACACAGTTACGTTACCGGGTGCCCTCGCCTAACTTGTTACTTGTTTTTAAGCAAAGACTTCACAGTGGCTAACAAAAGCGAAAGATATTCAACTGATGGCGATTGTAACAGCCTAAATATCATTTTTCAGACAGTATTACGCACTGAGCCATTTGTAGCTGGAAGACTCGAGGAGAACTTTACTCGGGCGTCCGAATTCCTGCCTGAAAGGTGGCTACGGTCGAGCGACGACAACTCGCAGAAGACAAGTGATGGCTCTTGGCAGCTACACCCATTCGCCTCTCTCCCGTTCAGCATTGGACCGAGAATGTGCATAGGCAGGAGAGTCGCTGAGATGGAGATCACCATTCTTGTCGCCCAGGTATGTTCGATAGGGTTCAAGCGTTCTACGTAAGCTTTCAGCTCAAAAGTTCTTGAAGAGTTGTGCATATATGTCACACGAGTTGCGAGATGTGAGACGCGGAGTTCAATGATGAGGATTGATAGACATGTACGCATAGCGCTCCCTTTCTTTAGTGACGAAGGTGGTCTGGCTAGGCAAAAAAAATTGCATCTGGTGAAAAAAGCTAGGTTTAAGAAATGATTTACGGGTTCCCACAGCAAGGAGTAACTTGAATATGCTGTTAAAATGTGATTATACAGGCCACTCGGCTTTCCAGAGTGCCTAGCAACTCACTGTTGGTCCCCGTATGTGTCTTTAGGGCGCTCTTTGACTCTTCTGGGAAACCGCACGCTTTGTTGTGAGCGACTGCAGTTATACCAAAGAGTCATAGTGGTGTCTCTACTACGAAACCCGTAATCTTGTTTGATAACTAGATTTTCGCAAAGCATATAATTTTTCCAGCCTGTTGCTCGTTCACTCAGGAGG